ATATAAAAATATTTTTAGAATAAAAGGAAGAGTAGTGACTATAAATCAGATAAGAGTGCGCTATTAATTTTTATATCAAAGCATACTTGTATGAAAAAAATAATAAAATCTGTTTTAAAATATGGAAATGTATTACTTTTTAACATAAAATTTTATATTTTTAAATTAATTTATTTATTAATAAAACAAATATTTATACTAATTTATTACTTATAATTGTTTTTTAAAAAAATAAAGTAATGTATTAATTTTCAAAATTAAAGTTTAAGTAAATAAAATATTTTATTGAAAATTTCCAATCTTAGCTTAAGAAAATTTTTGTACTTTTTTCGAATTTCTGCTGCCCCCCTGCCCCCCCTTGGCGACGCCCTTGGGTATAAATATAAACATAAATACATTTTCGTTAAGGTGCAGGTTACAATTTTATTATTTTTTTTTCTCGAAAACTTGATTCGTTCGCATAAAAATAAGGAAATATTTAACGCATATTTGAGAGTTTTACGAGTAGTAAATAATTAACAAAACCACTTGTAAAAATAAATAAAAACTAGGAACTCGGCCGCCCGCTAGGAAAGCCGCGACCCGCCACTGGTTAAATATCACGCTGTTAGCTTAGTAAAAGTGAAATTCGTCAACAATTTCTAATGCGCGCCGCCTAATCACGCGTAAAATATCACCAAACCGTACAATCGAATAAACTTTTTCACAATCGGGATAATTAGTGCGTTTGTTCGACTCACCTTCCGCCCTTTCCGTCTTGTCGGTCATCTGGGTGGACGCTATCGAATGTTTCTTCTCTCTCTCCTGGGCGTTCTTGTTGAACATATGGGTTCTGAATGTCGGCCTCTCGGCGGGTTCATGGTTCGTTGCTTCCTTCCTAACGCTCTTGCTCTTTTCGAACTTCCTCTCCTCTCTGTCCCACCGCTCGCCGAGGTGGCGCGGGTCTATGGAGGTGTTGGTGGTGGACTCGGCCAGCTCCCAGCTGTCGCGCGACGCCCTGCCGTCGTGCTTGTCGCCGTCCGCCCCGTCCTTGGCCCAGCTGGCGGCGTCGTCGGCCGTCTCGTGGGTCAGGCTGCTCTGCACCTCCCAGTTGGCGCTGAAGGAGTTCCGCTTCGAGTTGTTCTGCATCACGCGGTTCTGGTGCACCCCGAAGGTGTCCCTGTCCTGGCGCTGGGCCATGAAGGACGATTCCCTGGTCGGCTCGACGGGGGGCGGGGGCTGGTTGGGGCGGACGACCGGCGGCGGGGGGGCAGGGCCGGGCGGCGCCGGGGGAAGGGAGTTGGGGCCGATCGGTGGAGGCGGAGGGCCCGGTTTCCAGTTGGAGCTGGCCCAGCTTTGCTGGGTGGGCGATTTGGTGCCGTTGAGTGGTACCTATTGGATATCATTTTTTAATTTTGGATATTTTCTTTATATTTCTTAGTGAAAATGTGCACTTATATTTACATAACACTCTATTCCCTATCCTTTTTGACCTGTAGGTATAGAAAAAAACGATAAAGACTAAAATTTTAGGTTATGAACAAATCACTACGCTGATGACCTTGAGTTTGACCTCGGCATTAAATTTCAAGGTCAAACTAACGTTAACTTGAAAAAAAATGAAATCTAATTTTTAAGCTAGCAACAGAACACGAAATTTTACATCCGAATATGTGATCAGAAATTTTTTCGAAATGTCCTTGCATGTCATTTAAAGATCAAACAATTTTTTTTTCTGAATACCTCGACAAGATCGAGTAGTGGAGGAAAATGTTTCATACAAAATTTGTAGGATTTTAAATGACAAATTTGATGACCTTCAAACAAGTTGCTAGGTTAAACCAAGGTCAACTTGGAATCAAATGGAATACGCTATTTTCTATGCCAGCAACCAATATAACACCAAATTTTATGTTGGAATCTGGGATGGAAGAATTTTTCCAGGATGTCCTTGCAGATCATTTGAATGTCAAATTTATTTTTGAGAAAAAAATAATTAAAATAAAAGTAAAAAAAAATTTAATAGAAATATTCGACGGAAATTATTAGTATGGCATTGATATAATTTTTAAATTTAACATTTTTAGGTCAATAATTAAAATTTGTCGAAAAGCCATTCAGGAGGTTGATATCTAATCACCTGTTAACAGCTAATAGAATCCTATTTTGCATTACCATTACCTGTTTGACCTCCAAGTAACCTGCAAGGAGATACCGCAAAAAATTCGTATTTTTTATGTAAACGACAGCAGATATACACGGTGTCCCATTTTAAACAACGCGTTGCAATATCTTCCTAGGGATATTCGATGGTGACCTTGACCTTGACACAAAGGTCAAAGGTCATTTGAAGGTCAACTTGGATTTTTAGATATGATAAATGATTTCTGACAGCGGAAATGGATAGAGCGAAAAATTTTACGTTCAGATACGTCTTCATGTAATGTTAAAGAGTTATTTTAGGGTCAAATAAGGTTCTGAATAAAAATTTGCTATATTTTTTGGGAAAGCACTTACCACGAAAGATTCTGGTTGAAAGTTGCATGGACTGATGGGATCGTACACTGATGACCTTGATCATGACCTAGAGATCAAGACTGAAGGTTCTTTGAAGGTCAAATCAAGTTACGAAATAGGAAAACCCTGTTTGCAGCCCCATTAAGTTAAGGCAATGTTTTTATGGCCCAGCCAGGCAAGACAAGATGGCTCTAATCCAATCAGTCAAGGCAAGGTCACCATGACCCGGCCAACCGGGTCGAAGCGATCTTGCTTTGACTAGCTGGACCATAAAGATTTTGCCTTAATTTAATGGGCAAACAGGGTTCTCCTATTTCGTAACTTGATTGGACCTTCAAAGAACCTTCAAGCTTGNACTTGGAATCAAATGGAATACGCTATTTTCTATGCCAGCAACCGATACAACACCAAATTTTATGTTGGAATCTGGGATGGAAGAATTTTTCCAGGATGTCCTTGCAGATCATTTGAATGTCAAATTTATTTTTGAGAAAAAATAATTACTATAAAAGTAAAAAAATTTAATAGACATATTCGACGGAAATTATTAGTATGGCATTGATATAATTTTTAAATTTAATATTTTTAGGCCAATAATTAAAATTTGTCGAAAAGCCATTCTGGAGGTTCAATCTAATCACCTGTTAACAGCTAATAAAATATTATTTTGCATTATCATTACCTGTTTGACCTCCAAGTAACCTGCAAGGGGATACCGCAAAAAAATCGTATTTTTTATGTAAACGACAGCAGACATACACGGTGTCCCATTTTAAACAACGCGTTGCAATATCTTCCTAGGGATATTCGATGGTGACCTTGACACAAAAGTCAAAGGTCATTTGAAGGTCAACTTGGATTTTTAGATATGATAAATGATTTCTGACAGCGGAAATGGATAGAGCGAAAAATTTTACGTTCAGATACGTCTTCATGTAATGTTAAAGAGTTATTTTAGGGTCAAATAAGGTTCTGAATAAAAATTTGCTATATTTTTCGGGAAAGCACTTACCACGAAAGATTCTGGTTGAAAGTTGCATGGATTGATGGGATCGTACACTGATGACCTTGATCATGACCTAGAGATCAAGACTGAAGGTCTTTGAAGGTCAAATCAAGTTACGAAATAGAAAAACCCTGTCTGCAGCCCCATTAAGTTAAGGCAATGTTTTTATGGCCCAGCCAGTCAAGAAAAGATGGCTCTAATCCAATCAGTCAAGGCAAGGTCACCATGACCCGGCCAACCGGGTCGAAGCGATCTTGCTTTGACTAGCTGGACCATAAAGATTTTGCCTTAATTTAATGGGCAAACAGGGTTCTCCTATTTCGTAACTTGATTGGACCTTCAAAGAACCTTCAAGCTTGACCTCTAGGTCATGGTCAAGGTCATCATCGTATGATTCCATCAAACAATAAATCTTCCAACCAGAATCCGTCGTCGTAAGTTCTTTCCCGAAAAAATATCGCAAAATCTTATTCTAAACCTTATTTGACCCTAAAATAACCCTTTAGGATCACTTTAACCCATAACATAAAGACATATCTGAACGTAAAATCTTCCGCTCTATCCATTTCCGGTATCAGAAATACATCTAACATACATAAAAATCCAAGTTGACTTTCAAATGGCCTCAACGGTTAACCTTTGTGTCAAGGTCACCATCGAATGTCCCTTCAGAACCCTGCAACTTTTGTCTAAAAAGTTTCTCTTGTTAATGCTTCCCTAAGATGATATTGCGATATATATTAAAAGCTGTAGGTTACTCTCGCTCCCACACTCAGCCGCGAAAAAGGGCGTACGGTATTATCAAAGGCTGTCCTCGCGAGCCGCGCAGCGGCGAGCCGAGGGGCCCAAACGTCGTATTTTGAAGGCGATCTGTTCGCGCCTTCTATGTGAAATTTCCACTTTAAAAAGAGTCCTCGCCGAAAATTAATTTTTTTCGGTGGGAGAGAGATACCCGAAGTATTTAAACAGAAATGGAGATAAACGTCAATGAAGACGTCAAAATAATTTTTGGGATTTGACGCGTTTTCCAGGACGATCGGGCCACGGTGCGTCGTTGCATTGCCGTTAGCCATCTTTTAGAGACGCAACTTTGTCGACAAAACTTGATTTGAACATTTTCAATTTTCTGTTTACATTCGCGGAGAACCAACGTTTCAAATAGCCCGCGCAGGCTCCACCCAGCGTTAGATCACCGTAGCTCATTTTGTAAACTCTCGACTGCGAAGCCGATGGTCCGGGGTTCGGCCGAAGGCCGGAGAGAAAGGTCAAGTCCGCGCAAGCGGACTTGCCTGCCTTTCTAGTACGTTCTTTAAAATGGGACAACGTGTATATAAAAAAAATGTTCTTTTCCACGTGACCTTATGTATTTGGAACCTCCAGAAACCAAATCTACCATGGGAAAAGTTTTTTTTTTAATTAACGAAACCACCGGTAAAACCTAAAATCTAGAAAGGGTTCTGGGTTCAATTTTTCAACCCTCGCTACTTTTCATCTTCGTGTGATCACAATATAATCATCTCTAAGTTCGAGAAATCAGCTAAAAATCTATATTCAGCGGATTCAAGTCGCAAACTCAAACGAATTTGCAGCCTGAAAGCAGCACGATCGACTCACCCTACTCATCTAACCTAACTTCCAAACTCACATACACTGCACAAAGTACGATCAACTCGGTTTCAGGGGTGGTTTTTGGGAAGTTAAAAAAATTAGAAAAAATGAAACCGTCCATCTTCTATGGTTCCTGGGCGTCAAAATATATAAGGTCATAAAGGTATCATCCATGGAACAGATCACTTTTTGTGTCTGTGTTATGTTTGAACAACGATTTCCAAAAATTTCTTATTATTGGAGTATTACTTACATGTGGAGGAGTTTCCGGGCTAGACTTCCCACTAGTATTCAGCGACTCGTCTCCCCACCTCCCAGCCAGCTGCTGCTCGAGCATCATCTTCCTCGTATCCTCCAACTTATTAATGTTCCTCCCCGGCTTGTCAACTTTGCTACTCGTGGACCTCACGGAATGATTAGCGGTGACCATTTCCAGTCTCTGCCTCATCTCCGAGCTCAGTTTGAGCTTCCCAACGCTCCCCGGGGAAGGCCTTGCAGCCCCTATGTCGAAGGCGCGCTTGGTGCTCGCCTTGGTCAGTCGTTCGTTCTCCCGAACCGTAGATTCGAACTCTACCTCCTCCCATTCCGCGGAAGACTGTTCGGTCTTGACGAAGCCGATGGCGTGGCCGTTGGTTATAGTGACCGTCTGTTCCTTGTTGGGCGTCACCTTGCGCTGGTGCTGACGCAGCTTGAAGTGCATGAAGTCCTCCCCGTTCTCCTGAGTAGCGCCGTCTTTGGGAGGCGGCCACCGCCACTTACCTATGCGGACGGTCTTGGCGCGGCCGTAGGGGTCCATGAAGGGACGCACCTCGCTGGGATCGGTGCCGTCTAGTGGCGGCGGCATAGGTGGTGGTGGTGGTGGTGGGGGTATGCCGTTTCTGCTGATCATGCTCATGTTGGTCATGTTGGAATCGGAACTGGCTTTGCGCGACTTGAAATCGCTCGAAGAGTTCACGCTAGGGGAACTAATTTTTCTGTTGGCGCTGCTGACGGACTTGAAGCTGGCTTTCCTGTTGGGGCTCGAGGTGTTGGACTGGTGCACCTGGGCCTTCACCGTGGTCTGAATGGTTTCCGTGACTTTGACGTCCGTGGAGACGGAAGTGTTTTGTTGGGTAAGTAACTGTTGTAGGGCCTGGTTCTGCGCTAGCAATTGCTGTTGGATTTGGATGTTTTGGGCCATAGCAGACTGGAGAAACGCTCTTTGCAAATTCTGTTGGTACGCTGCTATGTCGGTGCCGTTCTGGGTGATGCCCACGTTAGGCATGTTGAACACGGGCATGAATCCATCTTGTGTCGGACTGAGTAAGGGCATCATCAGCGGCGCGGGGCTAACAATCGGCGCGGGGATAGAGGAGAAGTTGTAACTAGAAGTTCCGGCGCTGTTTTGGGTAGTCCCCCCACCTTTAATGCTGTCGACTAAGTTGTGTTTCTCGGTCAGACTCTTCAGGCTGTCGTTGATGAAAATCGGTCTGAACAGGTCGCTTATGTAATCGTCCACATTACCGTTGGCGTTAACCTTCGGCGTACTCTGGCGGTTCTGAGCCGAAGTGAGGCTTTCGACTTCTTGGTCCAACACGGAGCTGCTCTGGCTGTCAGTTCTCGGTCTGTGCCCTCCACCTTTAATTTTAACCACTAGGTCGTCGACGTTCCACGTATCAACACCTGGACACTCCACACCACTTAACACCTCGTCCAAGAAGTCATCTAGGCCCTCGATGTACTCTTCATTGCATCCACCTCCTTTAATACTAGCTGCTAAAGATCTGGCGTCACTGAGCTCGTCTAGATTCCCATCTAAAACCGGACTGAATAATTCGTCGAGGAACTGGTCAACATCAGAAGCTTGACTCGGCACCCGCACTCTTCTAACATGACTCGCCAAACTTGGGGCTTCGCTGGTGTCGGACATCGCCGAGCTCCTAACACCACTGAATTCAGACTTCTCGATGTGCGCCTTGCTGGAATGCGACCCAGGCGGTGCTTTCTTACCAGCGTACGCCGATTTGATGAATCTAGGACCGCCTCTGTGGGACGTGCTTACGCTGGACACATCTGGGTACTCGAAATCGATCTCCTGTTTCGACATATAGTTCTGGTTCGCTATGACTGGTTTGATGGGCGCCAGCTGCTCTACGGAGTGGTACCTTTCGTTTAACCTCGACGACTGACTTAGTCCTAAATCTGCCAGTGGGGTAGGTTCGGGTTCACTCAGAAGGTTATCCAGACTTCTGGACCGGGCCTTTTCGATGTCGAAGTATCTTTCGTTCAAGGCAGAGTTGCGAGACAAGGC